TACTTGGGGAAGGTGGGGAGGTTGGGCTGAAGGCAGGGCTTGGCTCAAGCAGATGGGAAGAGATAGTGCTGGATACAGACTAGGAAGGAGAAACTTCACTGCCTCGGGGTTAAGGTGAAAAGGCACAATTGCAAACACCTACTCCATGCTAGACACTGTTGGAAGTATGAACTCATTCAGAGAGAACATTTTACATTTAGAACCCAGAGGTAGCCAGGCCAGTGAGGAACGAGAAATGTGGGATCATGGCTAAGGCATGAATAAAACCATTCCAAAGAACTGGTTATAAGATGTACTGACCTGTTTACCCCCCCAACAAAAAAGGGGGTGCCTGTGTGGCTCAGTTGGTTAAGTGTCTGACTCTTGATTTTGGCTTGGATCATGATCTCAGGGTCATGAGATCGAGCCCCATGTTAGGAACTGAGTGGGCAAGGAGCCTGCTTGGGATCTCTCCCTCTCCCCCTCCTCCCTCTCTTAAAAAAAAAGATAAATAAGGGTGACTGGGTGGCTCAGGCAGGTCATGATCTCAGGGTCCTGGGATGGAGCCCCGCATGGGCATCAGGCTCCCTGCTCAGCAGGGAGTTTGCTTCTCCCTCTGCCCCTCCCCCCGCTTGTACACACACTCTCAAATAAATAAAATCTTTTAAAAAATAAATAAATAAAAGAAATAATAAAAAAAGATGTACTGACCGATTTAAAATCAGAGACTCTAGCTTGGCTGCTTGTGTGGCAGGCAAGAGCCTCTCTCTTCACAACTCTGTTCAGCGGGATCAGATTGGTAGCTTGAAATGGGCCATGGTGGAAGCATTTACATGGTGGAAATCAGCAAATGCTACAGAGCAGGGCTCTCTATCCCCTCGCCCCTGATGGCCAGTTTGCCGGCCGCCAGCCTAGAACAGTGGTGTATTTATGGGGTACTGCCTATTTAATGAATCTGTTCAGCAAGCACTGCTCTGGTACATACTCCATCCAAGCTGCCAACTCTAAGGTATTATCTAAGGCGCCAGAGATGGATCAATGAATAAAACAGACATAGACCCTGCCCTCATGGAGTTAGTGATCTAGTGGGGGAAACAGAAACACTGTCAATGCAATCAGTTCAACCATGAGCCATGCCGCAGAGGAGAAATACAGGGGGCAGCAGCTATCCACCCTCTCCACTGCACCACAGCTGGATTTTCCAGCATTTTCAATGCAGACGCCAAGCACATTGCCCCCACTACTTTCTCACGGCTCAAGCTTGCAGCCCAGCATTCCCTATCACTAGCGGGTAATTTCTTCCGCGCTGGGCGGGGCCCCTTCCCCGGTTCTCAGAGAGCTTTTCAGCCTTGTGGGGGGAGAACTGACGCCCTAGCAGAGCCTTCTCCGCAAAGCCGACCTCCTCCCCCCCTTGCACCTGGCCAGGCCTAGCTCCCTGCCACTCTTCTGCTCCCCAGGACATCGTGGTTTCCATGGGAACCCCCTCACTTCAAAGGGGAATGAAGGAGACCGGAGGGGAGGAGGGAGAGCAAAAGCTGGATTAACCTCACCCTCCTGGCCCTGTCTCTGTGCAGCCTGGCAACCTAACCACCAGGTCCTAGACAGCACCGAACGCTGCCCATCAGCATGGAGGGGTGCGGTGGGATGGTCCAAGCTAAGTTTGAACTTCTTGGGGGAAAAGGTGGGGGTGGAGGTGGGGGGCTAGGGAAGGAGAGAACTGAGCTAGGTCCAAACCTGCAGTCCCCACTGCATGGGGCCTCCCCTCCTCAGACTCCCACTCAGCATCGCTCTTGGGCCACAAACACAATTACCCGCGATGTGCATCCAATCATGGGATCTGCTCGGATTAGACTGCAATCATTAATCTGAGCGGGAGCTCCTGGTTGCCTTGCTGATTAGCCCAGATGATGCTCTGGTATGATCCAATTAAAGACAGACTGCCTCCCCTCTCCCCAGCCACACTCTCTCTCACACACATACACATACACACACACACACACACACACACACACACTTTCCACATCAGAAAGAACCAATACATTTCATTAACACTTCCTCATACACAAAACCTCGGGGGCACTGGCAGGCTCCCTGGACTCACAGGCACACCCCTCCCTTTTGTCACACTGTCCCCCTGCCACCCTGCAGGGGCCTGGTCAGAGAAGGGCCCCCTCCACCCTTCCTTCATCTGTGGTGCTGGGATGGGCCTTGGTGGAATCTCCCAAAAGTCGGTGCTGGGCACTAATCTGAATCGAAAGAGTCTTGTTACATTCATTGACATAAAATGCCGACTCCCCGATGTGCCTGGGAGCAGCCAGGCTGCCCCAAGGCAGGCAAATCTAATTAAAATTACCCGACCCTTTAGGAGGCTGAGCTCCCTCTCCAGTCATCCTGCAATGGCTGTAGAGAGAGCAGCTGGTACTAATGGGAGAGGTGTGGTTGTGAGAGAAAACCCCGGGCCCCTGGGGCAGGAAGGACTGCAGAGAAAAGCCGGGCAAAGGTGTTGGTTGTTCTGAGATGCTGGGCTGCCATGTTTGGCTGGGCCATTGGTGGCAACCAACCTGGGATTCCTTCTTCATGTTCAGACAGCTGCAGAGATGATTTGGGCAAATGCCGAGGACTGTTGGGGGCTCAGCCCGGTGGGAGAAGGTAAAGCTCAGGTGGGCAGGTGAGCAGGAAGAAGTGTTGGTAGGAGGAAGATCTGGCCCTTTATATTTCAAGTGACATCATGATGGGCAGCTCCCATGGGAGAGGTAACCCACTTCTCCTGCAGGTTGGCCTGGGTGGGGAATGAGCCTGGGATCTTGGGAAGGGCCAGGGAACCCATCTGCTTTGTACCAGACACAGTGCCAGGTGCTTACAGGGGCTCTCAGTGATCTTACTAAGCCTACTGGTTAGCTTCTGTTGGGAAACTAAAGCTCCGAGAGATTAGTACAGAAAGGAGGGGGGATGCAAGCCTGGGTTTCCAGAAACTTTTTGTTATGCCACTAATCAGGGGTCTTTCTAGGCTATGATCTGTGCTCACTACAGGTCCCTGTCCCCTAGGGGTCTGCAAAGGTGCCTAAGATGGTGGATGGTGCGTAAATGCCGCACGTGGTACGAGTGGGACCTGAGGGTCTGCATCTCTAAACAGCTCCCGGGTGATGCAGTGCTGCCAGCCCCTGGGCCATACTGTGGGTAGCAATGCTCTACATGGAGTTTGACGGCTATCCCTCCAAGCCATGAGATCATCAGGGAGACTCTCCTCTCCCTTCTCATGCTCCAACACAAGCCCAAGACCACCTTGCAGTTTAATTTCCAAGTGCTCGTGTAGCCTCATCTCCCCACTCCCAGTTGCTCTGGCCACTGGCCATTCTTGGAATACAGAGGCCCTGCTCTGTCTGGAAGGCTCTACTCCAGCCCACTTTTCCTTCCGGTGGACTCTCTTACTACCGTTTATGATCAAACTCAAATATTGCCGCCTCTGTGAAGCCTTCTCTGTTAAAGCTCTGACCACAAGGTATTGGTTTCTTGCTGGCATATCTGTCTGTTCCTGCGGAGACAGGGAAGAGTCCACGCATTTGCTTTTGTAGGTTTACCCTCTTTTGCCTGGAGTCCAGCTCAGCGCCTCCACATATTCTAGTGAGGGTTCGATAAAACAGCATGAAGGAAGGAAGGAAAGGAGGACAGGAGTGCTCCATCTGACAGGTACTGTGACCAGATCTGGGAGTTCTTTGGAGTCCAAAGCAGGGCTCTCTCCCTGCAGGCAAGCTGGGCCTGACCTGTGCACTGGGCAGAGTGGGGCACAAGCACAGTGACTCATCCTTCCACCGGGGCTGGGAAAGACCCTTTCGGCAGGACCTCCGGATCAGGCCTCACTGCTCTGGACTCCATGTTGGCATTAGAGGCTTTCGGCTCATCTGAGTAGCTAAAAATAATGCCAATGATAATGATGGTAACAGCAATAATTATCACCATTACCGTAACAGCACTGTCATTACGGGGAGGAGTGAGGAAGGAGTCAATCCTCTTCCCATTCATCTTGGGTGGACCATTCCACCTGTTACTGATCCTGGCACCTGCTGCAGCGTATGCGAGGTCCCAGGCAAGAGGTGCTTGCGGGATGCACGGGAATGTATGTGCTCACGCAAGTGAGTGTGAGTAAGGGTCCAACCTCAATACTCAGCGTTGACTCGGGCATCTTTTCTAGCGGTGTGGGCCCCGCACAGAGACGTAATGACTAAAATCTCTGCTGGAGCTTCGTTCAGGCTGCTCTCAGACAACTGCCTCTTCTCAACCGCAGACACAGAACAGCCAGCCCCTGAGCCCCTCCCACCCTCTGCAACATTCAGGGCCCGGCCCTGCTCTCAGCGATCTCCCCATCTGGAGGGACGGCACCGGAACCTACGTGGCGGCACACCACAGCTCTTGCTAAGAAACAAAGACAACCATGAATCATGTGCTCCAAGGACCAGCTGCATTAGATTCATCTAGAAAGCTTTTCAAAACATTCCTCTTCCTTTTCCTATAGTTTGACCTACTGATTCAGCATTTCTGAGCATGGAGCCCAGAAATATGCATTTTAAGAAGCTCTCCCCAGTGATTTTCAGGCATAGTAAAGTTTGTGTAATACCAAGTCCTAGATGGTCCTGGCAGATGTCCAGTGGTCCGGTGGGCTTGCTGGAGTAAAGGCAACAACGGGGGACGTGTAAGGAGAGCATCCCGAGGTGGCCATCAGCAGAGCTGAGGGTTTCTGATGCCCATGAGGGCTCAATCCCCAGCTGGGATGAGAAAAGGGTCCTTCTGGAAGATTCTTCCCTGGGCTCTCTTGCCCCTCACTAGACAATCCCAGGAAGCTAGTGTCAACCCACAGCAGCCAGCTGAGGTATGTCCAGATTGATTTGAGAGAGAAGGTGGTGAGGAGAGTGGCTGTTGGCCGTGGCCTTTATGAGCCCACCCACTGGCCTGCATGCTCATCTCTCAGGGCTGAGCTGGACTGGAGGCTGCCTGGGGCTTCCGGACATAGCTGAAGAGTCTCCTACCTGTATACAGCTCGCTTGTCAGCCTCCAGCTGGGCCTGGGGGTCAATGGGGGCACTGGGCACAGGCGTGTTGGCAGCGGCCGAGGGTGCAGAGATGTGGACAGCCTGGGTCTTAGAGGGAGCCTGGGCAGTTGCTGTCATCTGCAGAAAGAAGAAAGGGGAAGCGGCGGGTTAGTGTGGCCAGGACAGCTGGTCCCCAGCTGGAATTGGGAGGCCTACCTTGGCCTGTGGTGTGTGTGTGAATGAGAGAATGTGTGCCAGGGAACAGTGAGTGTATAACAAGCATCCATTTGTTTATGTGCTCCAGCGAGAAGAAAGCATTCTTCAGATGAGAATATTCTAGAGAATAATTTAGGACCGTACAAAACCGGGTGGGGCACTAGCTCTCTTCAAAAGAGATGATTCTTAATGCAAATGAAGGTGGTGACCTCTGCCAAGATGCAGAAAAAACCCAAAATGATGAACCCTTTAAATTGTGTTTATGGGTCATTTGGGCTGTTCTGGGCTGTAATAAGTTGATTTGATGACTTTGAAGAGCAGGAAAAAAAACCCCGGCTGAATCAGTTCTCATTTGGGCAGAGCTTTATTTCATTTCACTCAAGCCAGAAGTAACTGTTTTAATGGTTTTGATTGATAATTGAATGGCTCTCTAAATTTGGTTTCCCTGGGCACTTGGAGGTAAACAGATTTTAGTGGACACTGGAGAGATTTCTGTTCTTAGCCATAACAAGTATTTTGGGTAGTGATTTTTGTCCTATGTGATGTTTTTGAAGGTATCCCTAGGCCCCTGATTTTGTGCCAGAGCAACTCCTTCTAATATTATATATTGGACTTTCTGTATAAAATTTTATTTAAAGAAAGGATTAGGTGGCTTAAATTTTTGGATGACCATCATTACAAATTTAATGCTTTTATAAGATATTTTCTTTAGTCAAATGGATCCCTAAAATGTCACGAATGGTGACATTGCCTCAACTCTTCTGCTAGCCTGCACGCAGCACTGTTGGGCTTGATATACCTGTCTGCCTCCTGCACTCAAGCCCTGGTTCCACCTACGTCCACGGCACCCAATGGACACAGAGTAGATGCTTAGCCTTTGTTGAATGAATGAATGAATACATCTTGAAAGAGTCAGATGTTTTACAGTTGGGATGTTCATCATAGATCTAGGTCCCTTCCTCCTGAAAGGAAAAGCATGGTCCTTCCAACAATACAAGCACATTATTGCTGGTACTGATACCCCCAAGACATTTGCTTTTGCTGTCTCATTTACCTCATTTAGATTTTTGCTCTGGTGCCATGTGTTCAGCTTGAAACAGAGCCCCTCTGTCCCTTGCTGTCCCCTTACTCTGCTTTCTTTCATAGGCCTTTCTATGATCAGATACTACACATCTACTTGCTTAGTTATTTTCTCTCCCATTCCCAACTAAACTTTAAGCTCAAAGAGGGCTTGATTAGCAGTTGTATTCCTAGGGCCCAGAATAGCCAGGCACTAGTAGATGCTCATAAATATTTGGGGCTCAATAAATGATTGGCAGATGGCGAATGAGCTCTTTCATTTCTTAAAAGAAATCTATCTGCTTTATTATACTGGATCCCCATCATTTTTTGTTAGGAAGAGATAACCTTGTCACTGTTGACCGGACTGGGGGAACTCTCCCAAACTCAGAGTATGGGAGGCTAGACAGAGTATCATGGTACCTTCAAGCCAGAAGACGATTGCTTGAATCCTACCGTCTCCCATTATTAGCCTTTGACCTTGGGCAAGTCCCTTAACTTTCCTAAACTGCTACTTTCTCATCAGGAAGCAAATTGGTGTCATCTTAGGACCCATGGGTATTAAAGAGGTGCTATAAGGACGAAAGTAGAAACAAATGTTCCAATTTTCAAAATAGAGAAAGAAGGTGGAATCCGAAAAACTGAATACTGCTCATCTTCACATTGATCTGGGCCAGTTTCTTTCATCCACTAATGCAAATGGTCATTTCTTCAAATATTCCCTGAGTTCCTAGGCACCGTGCTAGGTAGGCACTGAGGTTACAAGGCTGAGTGCCTGCTCTCATGGAGCTGTTTCTGGATTTAACATGGTTGCTACGCTGGCAGGTGAGGAAAACGTGTAGACACGGATGGTGTTAAGTGACCTCAGCAAGGTACCTCCCGCGACACCCTTGTGGAAGACATGGAGAGCTGTGACCGGCGGATGGCTGCATGGATTAGGAAGCTACACCCAAAGGGTGGCATTTATTTATTTATTTTTGTTTGTTTGTTTTAAAGATTTTATTTATTTATTTGACAGAGAGAGAGACAGTGAGAGAGGGAACATTTAAAGGACAGAGGTCAGCTTGGGGAAGGCTTCTAGGACAGGCTTTCTCCTTAGCCCTCTTCTTTAGTATATTTATCAGTGATTGAGAAGGGGGCTGAAGAAATGCTCAGCAAATTTATAGGCGATGTAAGACTGAGATCCAAAAGATCTTTACAGATTTTGGCCACAGGCTAAGTCTAATAAGATTAATTTTCATCTAATAAGTCAGAATTTAATGCTTCTAACACGTGAGCCAAAAAAAAAAAATCAATAATGTAAGTGCAGAACAGGAGAGACATGATTTAACAGCAGTGTTTGAGTTGACAGAAAGCTCAATATTTCCAAAGTGTAATGTGTCTGTCAAAAAAAAAAAAAAAAAACCCAACAAAGACAAGCAACCTCACCTAATGCTATCTGAGGATGCATTAACAGAAGCATGACTCACACAAAGCCTCTAGTCCCACTCCTCTCTGCTGAAACAAGTATAGGGAAGTACGTTCAGAGAATTGATCAGGCTAGTGAAGGGATTCTGCATTATGTCATAGGAGGAGTATTTGAATCTGGAATATGTAAGAAAGATTTGAGGGATAGGGGAGATAAGACATGGGAGCCCCCTTTGAATATCTGAACAAGGGATTATGTTATATCGGTTCTGCTCTGCAGGCCCCAAAGGGTCAAACTACAAGCAATGCATTCAATCTATATAAACGTGGAGACAGATTTGGGCTCAACCCAGATAATAAGTTTCCAAGCCTCTGAGCCTTTTGAGGCTGGTATGGGCTCCATCCAGGAGGCGGTGAGATTCCACTACTGCAGGGGCCAAGCAGAGACTGACCGCTGGGCCCCTGTGGAGGGGATGGAAACTCTAGCTGGGCAGCATCTGAAGTCCCAACAGGGACAGGCTCAGACACCATCGGGGTACTCTAACAATCACCACCCACAGCACAGGGTTGACCAGAGGCTCTGACTGGAGGGTGTATAGTATGTAGGAGTGCTTTGGAAACTCCAAAGTGCTCCCAAGATGGAGGGGTGGTGGTAGTTAAACACATGATTTCCAGAATGTGCTTCTTTTCTAAACAAGGCACAGCTATGCCTGCAGAGCTTGATTACAGGTGAGATGCAGGGGAGGCTGGTATGCTCCACCTTGCCCACAAAGGGTGAATATCCTCGTGTCCTTGAAGGAATCCACAAGGGACTTCCATGAAGATGAGCATCTAGGAGAGAGGGATGAGGGGAAATGCTCCTTTTCCTCTCACTTCCCCTTTCTAGGCAGGACTGCTGGGTTACAGAGGAAAGCACAGAATAAGAATAAATCAAAAGCGGTCACTTGCTAGCATCCCAAGAGGCCCCAGCTGAGAGGCTGCTCCTGGGGCGCAGGGAGGGATTGGGGGCAGGAGAGAGCCGATCTGGTCTGAGTAGGACAATGATTCAAATTTATTTAGCTCCTGGGGGCCAATTCAGCAAACTCTGCATTTCCTCCAGGTTTGGAGAGTGAGTGTTTACCTCCAAATAGATCCCCTTTTCTAGCCAGGGACTTCCCATTTCCCAAGAACTGAAGCTCCTGGGGAGAGGCCCCCACCTCCCCCAGCAGCTGCCTCAGGGCCTGGGGGAGGAGGGCCACTTGTGGAGGTACTGGGAGGAGGTTTCTGCGCAGCCCAGAGAACTGGTTGTCAGACATTTACTAGCACGCCTAAATGTCAGGCATTTGCTCCAAGTAACTGTCCTTTTCTGCTCGGTCTGGCAGGTACAGACTCCATGAGGCCACTTGGTATGTTCACAGCTGGTCTCAGAACTGGCCACTCCAGACTCTGAACCTTCCTCCAAGGGGACCTCAGAGCACTCTGGAAATTCTGCCTTGGCAGCAAACTGGGGACAGGGTGTGGGGACAGCACTGCACCGATGCAAGGACTGTCCCTTTGCAACAAGGAGAACTGAGGCACAGAGGAGGAAAGGCAGAGTTGAACAGTGTCTTGAGAGCTTTCTAGAAGATGGGAAAAGTCTCGGAGAGTGGGAGGAACAGGGAATCTGAGGCCCTGGGTTCATTGCTCCCTCTGTCAATTATTAGCTACATGTTTGGGGGCAAGTTTCCTGACCTCTTTGATCCTTGGCTTTCTCATCAGTAAAAAGCAGGGGTGAGTACCTACTGCACAGGCTGTCAGGAGTAATCAAGAGAACAGGGTGGGACGCGTGGGTGGCTCAGCGGGTCAAGTGTCTGCCTTCGGCTCAGGTCATGATCTCAGCTGAGGTCCTGGGATTGAGCCCCGCATCAGGCTCCCTGCTGAGCAGGGAGCCCGCTTGTCCCTCTCCCTCTGCCCCTCCCTACTGGTCCTACTCTCATGCTCTCTCTCAAGTAAATAAATAAAATCTTAAAAAAGAGAGAGAGAGAGAGAGAGAGAACAGGGTAATAGATGGAGAAGGGTGACAGCATTCCCTGGAAAGAGATGGGGTGCTGTGAGAGCCTACACAGGGTTCTAGGGTTCCCACCTCCTCTTTCCTTAGAGTCCTTTCTTGGGGCAAGACCCCTGAGGCCACCACTCCATACTCCGTCCTTCCATGAAAGCTATAACCACTGGCCTTCTCTCCCTCGTTCAGCTGGAACCGGCCCTACCTTAAGCTTGGAGCACAAGGGCCCTGCCCAGATACTTGGTTTGAAACACGTTGAGATGAAGGTTCGGGATCCCCATCCCCACCCTAAAACAGAGTGGGGAGAGTTGACGTTCGTAAGCTGTGTGCAGAGGAAGGCAAAATCTGCAGGCAAATCCGGCAACCTCTCTGACAGTCCAATCGGACCAGGAAATGGGTAGGAGATACTCCACAGTGCGATTTGAGAAGCTCATCT